CTATCGGACGACATCAAGTCCGCTTCATTGGAGATGTTGGTACCCCCAGATTTGGAGAAACATCTTTTGTTGAACAAGAGTAGATTGACAACCTATTCATTGATCAAACAGGAGATTGAACTTGTCATTGAATCATCTCTCACATCAAAGTCATCTGTTCCAAAACCAGGTTCATCGAGTTCTAGTTATCAAGGACCACAACCAATGGACGTCGATTCGATCGGACAATGGATTGCAAGCCTAGTCAAAGGAAAAGGTAAAGGAAAAGGTAAACAGGTCAAAGGTGATGGAAAGAAAGGCTCAAGCAAAGGAGATTCGAGTAAAGGCTCAAGTACGGCTCAAGATATCACCTGCTACAATTGCGGTAAGAAGGGACACAGAGCGGCCGATTGCTGGAGCAAGAAACGGCCGGATGGGAAAGGCGATAAATGGTCAGGTTCAGGCAAAGGAGATAGGAGTGGCAAAGGTGGCAAAGGCAGTAAAGGCAAAGGTGGAAAAGGCGGCAAAGGTAAAGCCGCAGGAAGTATGGAAGAGATGATCCGGATGATGGCATTCTTAGAGAATCCAACGCTGCGCTAGGGACAAGTTTGTCAGCAAACGACAATAGTTTGCGAAAACGCTGTCGTGTGTTAGACACACCTGTCGTTTGCATTACATGCCCATGTGGGCATATGCTCACTTTTGTTTGTGCTTTTCAGCAACAAAATAATGTCACCACATACGTATTAAATTCTTCATGCTTTTTGCGCGTGGTCGTTTGCGTCTGGCGCCGGGGTCGTTTGCACCGGTGTCCTTCTTTTCTTTGCGCTTTTCACCAAGAAAGACACTAGCAAAACAATGTCGCCACATACGTATTAAATTCTTCACGATTTTTGCACGTGGTCGTTTGCGTCCGGCACCGGGGTCGTTTGCACCGGGGTCGTTTGCACCCTGTAAGGCCAAAACTATAGTAAGCCTCTACCACGCTACGCTACCATGTTTGAAAACTTTCTGGCTGGCGTTTTCAGTTTGTTTTCGCTTGCCGTCACTCGCCGGCCGATCTCGCCGCTTCTCGAGCAGAGGTCACAGGTGCGTGAGGCAACCTTTTAACAGGGGATCACTACTAGGAACAAGAAGCTACTAGGGGCAAAGGGCGCCGCTACTATAGGAGGAAGAGCTCCTGGCCCTGATCTCACACACATAGGTGGCCGTACAGTTCCCACAACACAGATGAAGACTTAAACAATGGACCACCCTTTTGTATTGTGCAATTTTTTTTGCAAATAACTCTAATCTATAGACGGCGGCGTCATTTCACCATGCTCTCACCGGGCCGCCGGGGGCCGCGTGGGCCGCGTGCGCACTTGGGAGGCCATGTTCATGGGAGGGAACCGGTTGTGTGCAGAAAGTTGTGTTCTTTTCTTTGAACGTGCGTAGCACTTTCCCAAGCTTTTCGCTTGGTATACCCCGTGGTCAGCACGGCAAACACTCAGGTTGTTGAGTTCTGATATGTTCATTGTTCGTTGAGTTCATTGAAGTTACACTCTTTCACTCGTGTTGCCGCACTGCCCTTTCATGGTCTTCTAAAAAGACCGCCAGAGTTAAGAAGTACCTTTGGTACAGTCGCCGAGAGCAACTACGCCCATGGCAATGAACCCCTATTGCCTTGATTCGTCCTAAAAAAGCCTCCTCCTCAAAGTTTTGGTAGATGGCTGGGTTTAGCTTGAACTTGAGGATCTCGTCAGCTATATGCTGATTGTAGTGCGATTTGCACCTAGTCTTGAACAGGAGCTCTCTCCTGGCCGGGGTGGCACTTTGGTGGTAAAAGTCTGTCATAAAAATTACCTACTCCAGCGGAAACATGTGTCATTGAACACACACCTCAAGTGTTGCGTGGGATAACTTGGGACGGACCTGTGTGACAGCTTCATCACCACAAAACGAAAACCATGTCCTTTCATAGAAATAGGCAGACAGCCAGAAGAACGCTTGGAGGTGCAGTTTCAATGAGTCGCTCGCTTCCTTCGCCTGCGCCTCGGTGAAGGTGACGCCTGACAGGTCCATGAGCCCTGTGCACCGCTGCAGGGCAAAGCTGCACATGGCCAGAACATTGAGGACAGCGTCCTCGGGCGGGTCAGACGGACGACAGGGTCACATGGGAGATGGCTCATGGCCCTTGGACAACCTGGTTTTTCAATGCTTTCAAGAGTCAGTGGGGTTTTGATCTGCGAGTTCCTGACTTTCTTTGGCAAGCCACCAAAGCATTCGCTTTATGTGGGAAGCTTTGAATCTAGAACCCATGCTAAAATAGCCATCTTCCGCAGTGAGGTTGGCTTGGGTCAGGTTTGGCTTCGCTGGCAACGCCAACCTTGCAATTGAGAACTTGGGAATAAACACATACATTTGACAACTACCTACTATCATTGCGCTAGACCAGTTGGCAAAATGGTACTTTGGTTCCAAGGAACCCGTGTTGGCGACAAACATCCCTCATTCGTCGATGGACGCGGGTGAGCGCTTCATCCATGTCCAACCCGTCCAAACCCCCAACAAGACCCTTGTCTATCAGGACTATGATGCCACTTGCGCACCCTTCCAGTGCCCAAATAGACATTGTGCATCCAGTCAAAGGTGATTGCTAAAAAGTTGAACCCTGGCATGGACACCCAATGACTCAGTGAGTCTGCATCAAACTGCATGTAAGCTTGGTGGTTGATGGCCGTCAAGTGCCACGCAGAGCTATTGGTGACATTGCGGTAATCCAACTCGGGTCGGCACCTTGTCCCCTGCATTGCTAGGCATCGGTCACAAAACCTGGGATGGGCCGGCAGTAGAAGAGAACGCTTTTCAGTAGCTAAAGCTTTGTCTAAAGACTTTGCCCGGCTGGAAAGGTTTATTGATGTTGCTAGGTGACTCGTTGCAACGGTAGTACCGCTTGAAGTTGTGAAGCTCATAGCGGGCTTTGAGGTCTGCTTTGAACGCAAAAAAGCAAGCCCTGCGGCGTTTAGCCAAAAGGGAATCCTGTGAAAATTGGATCCCATCCATTGCAACCACCCTACCATATTTTGTTGGGAAACCTTGACGCAAATCTTCAAAGAAAAAAGATCTCCTCCAGCCACAACCAAGCTGTTGGCCACAGAGGTGACCCCTAGATGTTTTCGCCAATGGTTCTCCAGTGAAGCCTGTATCAGGACCCACACCGCTGGAGGCAAGCTTCATTGACCAGGCCGTCAAACGAGCGATCGTCTGGCGCACAGCTTGCCGTACCTGGGTCGGTGCGAGAAGGGCGCCCATCAATTCAAGGGAATGTGCATCTACACATGAACAAGCACATATATTTATACGGGTGATAGGTGCATACCCATAGATATATACAAAGGAATATTTATAGAGTACTCTAGAGTATATATATATATAAGTCTATTTACAGCGGTACAGCTTTCATCATAGCGTTACAGCTTTCAGGAGGTGAAGGCCCTTTAACTTACAAAGCAAAAGCTTCTCCGGTAACAAGTAGCAGATGGTGTTCTCATATGCCTCTCAGGGATGATAGCGATTGGCCATTTATAAAGTAGCACGTCTTGAACCATCCCCTGTCCACCCCAGAGGCTGCTCCAAGACCAAACATAGAACTCATCATCACGATAAAATTGGGCGCCGTCGGCGTGGATGGCACACGGGATCAACCGGTGGTACGGGGCATCACTTGTGTGAATTGGGTGGTCTTTCCACGGCTCCAAACCCTTTGTGACTTCCCAGAAATTCCGCCTGGCATCATCACTAAGATCTCCTAGCATGATGCTCTGAAAAGCAGACATGCTCTTGGTAGCCAAGCAGTGAATCACTTCGTGTGGCAGCAGAACATGCACAGGTGTTGAGCGAGGCTTCGATCTCCATCCATTCACCTTTAGCAATCCATGTGACACCCACCCAATCAAAGGTTGGCTTGTTTTCACGCAAACGATAAAACATAAGAAAACAGATACCCCGTGCCAGAACCAGCTGGCCTCCAGATCCATGGGCACCACATATGTTTCCAGAGAAAAACCCCACAAATGTCGGAGCCACGTGTGTAGGTCCCTTTCTTGGTTCGCCGGACGGCATCCATTGGCGCCAAGCGATCCAAAGGCGCGAATCGCTTCGCGCGGGATCCCCTCAGAGTCGGCCACCTGCCACAGAGTCTGTTGTTCTCAAACCTTGACGAGGGTTTGAAAGAAAGTGAGGGCCTCCCAGAACGGGGGGGTTCTTTAATCTTTGTTCGGTAAAGAACATGAGCCGTGCTACAAAAGACCGCGCAATAGTAGCTGCAGCATCGATGCTAATCTTTCCGCGGCCGATGAGGTCGGCAAACTTCTCAACTGTTTGAGAATGTGGAAGATCTTCTAATCGCCGTCTCTTCCTGCATGACATGGCAAATGTTCCCACGATGGTATCAGAGAAGTGTTTTTGAAGACGTTGTGAAAAGGGCATCTAGTTTCTGTCAGCTCAATCCATTCTTTTGGCAGGACCCGACGCTCCTTCCAGATTTGAAGGCGCCAAGACCTGTCCGGGCGAATCCAGGGTGGTGTGACGTTGTAGCTTTGTGTTCGGGCCATCTTGGAAAAATGGACACTGCACTATCATATGTGAAAGACGTCATCCAAGCATGTAAACACCACTGTTGATTCTCTTTTTCTTGGCAGCTTCGGTCGCAAGCATTTCTAGCTGCTAGCTAAACCTGTTGAAAAGCAGCCGCAACCCCTGGCAAAACTGAAGAGCTGAGATCTATGGGGTCACCAGCTGCGCACATCAGCAAATGTTTCTCACTTGCAAACCCCGAAATCGCGAGAGGCCCCATCCTCTCACGCAGGAAGGTCTCTTAGCCTTCCTTGGTAGTATGCTTTCCGCGCTTGGCCTTCTTCTTGGTTTGCGCCTTCTTTTTCGCTCTCGGCTTCAGAAAGGCTTGAGCAGCTGCCTAGCAGCAAGAGTGTGTCTTTATAATTCAAAACTTTGTGAAAATTTGGTCGCACACCGATGCTTCTAATATGAAGAAAGTACTATGTTTTGAACTATAGTTGATGGACTGGATATCTGGAAAAAGCTGAGCTGATTGGAAAAGAGGAGAGATGGAAAGGAGCTAGACGAATTGGAAAAGAGGAAAGAAAAGAGCTGGAGTAAAAGAGTGTCAAAGTCCTTGTGGGCGTTTGGCGTTTTCCTTGCCTGAGCTTTGGAACCTTTTGGAATGAGGTCATTGGCAGAATTCACGTAGGCCTTGAGCGCTTTCTCGTTTCCTTCACCCACCTTTGCTGCCAACTTCTTGTAGCTCTGTTCCAGTTGACCAGCATGAGACAGCAAATCCTTGCTGAGCTCCTGAGCAAATTCCAGGCCACCAAGCTTGATTGACAGCTTGCGAGCTTCGCAGGCCTCCTTCAACATATCAGGAAGCAAGGTCTGTGCCTTTTCTGCCCAAGTTTGTGGCTCTACCTCCTGGGCCTGCTCCTGCTCCTCCTTCTTTTTCTTCTTGGGCGCAGCCACACCGGTAGTGATGGCCTGCAAGAGAACCTTGCTCCCACCTGCAGAAGCGCCCGCGACCTTTGGCAAAGCGCCAGGCCTCAACAATCCATCCTCTGAGGTCAGAGCACTCCGCATGTCAGGGTCAACGTCGACCTTGGCCTTCATGCCAAGAGTCTCAATGCATTGCTCCTTCTGGGTGATCTCATCGCCCTGCCGAACGAAATACCACATCTCCTGCGAAAGGTTGCAAAAAGATGGGAAGATGATGATAAGAAATTGAGGGATCAAAGTCAACTGGTGGAGGTCTTGATTTTACATCCTACTGGCCCAAACCGCACGAGAACACCGAAAGAAACCGGTCTCCTCCTCGTCCGAGCCAAAGTCGTCATCCTTGTACACGAGCCCTTGCTGAATTCTCTTGTCCCTCAGCTTCTGCCATTTCTCCGGCGTGTACTGCTTTTTCAGTTCTTTTCCCTGCACCGCTTTCCAGCCACGCTTGGATTCTGCAACCTCCCGCCTCTGGCGCTCGACAGCCAGGGCGCATTCTTTCCAGCTGTAGTTCGAGTCCAGCCAGAGGTTGAACAGCTCGGTCTTCTGGGAGACGAACATGTCGGACAATTCCACAGGCATCTTGCCCTTGCTCTTTGCTTGGCGACAAAATGTGTCCCACTCCCTTTTATTTGTCATGCTGTTGCGCAGTGCCACGGCAGTCTCTGCGGTGTGCTGCGCAATGGGAACCAAAGCGTGGCAAGGCTCCTCGGGCTCCTTCTTGTCTTTCTCCTCTCCCTTCACATCACCTTCATCTTCTTCTTCTCCTTCTTCTTCGCTTTCATCTTCGTCACTTTCCTCCTGGTCCTTGTCATCAGCTGATTCTTCTTCACTCTCTGAGGCTCCTTCTTCGTCCTCCTCCTTCCCTCCTTCATCATCTTCACCCTCTTCATCTTCTTCCTCCTCTGGCTCCTCCTGTTCAGACTCATCACTCTCTTCCGCACAGGACATGGACTCATCACCAGATATGGAGCCGTCCATGTTGTCGACGAAGGCTTCAAGGTCAGTAGCATTGCAAGACTCAGAGTCTGAATCGTTCGACGCCTCCAGAACAGCTGCCAACTCTGCGAGCCTTTTCTCAGCCTTCTCTTTCGAAGACAAGCTGGTGGAAGATGACTTGGTAGAAGCTGCGTCAAAGATTGGCTCAATCTTGTCTTTCATGGCCGGCTGCCACTTGACTGTCTTGCCACTCCTCTTGCTCTTCTTTGGATCTGGCATTTCACCCTCTTTCCCCTTGCGCTTTCTCTTCACTGTATCTTTATCCTTCTTCTTGTCTTTGGACTTCTCTCGTTTCTTCTCCTTCTTCTCCTTCTTCCCTTTCTTGCCTTCTTTGTCCTTCTTCTTACCTTCTCCTGCGACATCCTTCTCCTCCTTGTCGTTCTTGTTTCCTCCACTCTTCTTCTTTTCTTCTACCACTACCACCATCTTATGTGGCTTGCCTTCCTTGCATTCTGGCTTCTTTGCTGTCTTGTCTTCCTTCTTCACTTCTCCGCTGCGCTTCTTACCTTTCTCCTTCTTGTCTTCTTCTGCGCTCGTTTTCGCGCCTTTCCTTTCTTGCGGTTCTGACTTTGCCTCTTTCTTCTTCTTCTCTTTGCCAGACTCTTCCTTCTGCGCAGTCTTCTCTTTCTTTTCTGGCTCTTCTGCCTTCTTCTCTTTCTTGTTCTTCCTGTCTTCTACCTTTGGCTCACCCTTCTTCTCTTTCTTCTCCTCTTGGACTTCTACTTTCCTTTTGGCGTCCTTTTCCTTCCCCATCTCCTTGGCCTTCGCTGTCCTCAAGGCCGATGGTCTTGAACAGGAAGTGGATGCGCTAGTTGGAGTCTTTGCAAGAAGTGGAGAGCGGGGTGGTGTGCTGGGAGGCTCAGGCATTCGTGCGGCTGTGAGACTGCGTGCAGAGCCAAAAGCACTGGTGACAATGACATCCTACAATGCGCACGAATTCGCTCCAATGCGCACGAATTTCGCTCCAATGCGCACTAGTGGATTTCGATTTTTTTTGCAGAAAATTTGTGTCAAAATGATTTTTTTGTTTCCTGTCTTTCAAAGAAGCGACGCTGGCGCCCTGTACCCAGACGCCTGCGTCTGAAGCACTTCTAGTGATATAGATGCGAGGCATTCTCCTGGCTGGCAGGTTGGCAGGTTATGACCCCCTCAAGTGGTTCAGTACACCCTCAAAGATTCAATGAAGAGCATTGATCAACACCTTTATGTTCACATTATGTTCACATTGATCAAAGCCGGTAGTGTTACCGGTATATATCATTACTGCGTGCTTTTGTACACTACATCATACATGGTATGCATGTTTGGACATGTACCTGTCAAGTTCTTTCGTTTCGCACGTTTTCCTCAAGTTGAGAAATAGGTTGAAGGCCATCACTAATGGGCTGGAGGCCATCGCTCTTACCTCGAACAATCCAACTTGAGAAGACTTTGCCAGGCCCGAAGAAAGACAAGAAAGTCCTTGAAGATCTGAAGATCGCCGTGAGGCCGGGTCCTACCGGCGAGCAGAGAGGACATGACAGGGACATGGAGTGGTGGGCCTGTGGGTTCCTGTGGGGTCACGGTAGCTCACCCTGATAGTCCTTACTTTCTTTTCACCCCAAAGCTCACTCAACGCGTATAGATCTAAATTACCGCAACTCTGCTAAATGGAAGCTGATTGCTTAGCCCCGCAAACACAGCTAGCAGCGCCTATCACACAGCTAGCCAATTGGAAAAGCGAGCATCAATTTCAGCTGCTCGTGAGGAAATCAAAGACTGGCTGCAGGTTGGCTCCAGCCATCCAAGCCCGGTTAATGCGCGGCCTTCTATCGAAATCATTGGCTGTCTTCCGCGCAGCCTTTAGAAATTTTACAGCGGAATTGAAATTCCTCTTGGCATGCTTTGACCTCACCTTAGCCAAGGCGACCCCGAATCCTCGGGGGTAGGATTGGCTTTCTTTGAGGTGCTTGCCCCCGTGAACACGGCGTTCCCCCTTCTGGTTCTGGTAGCTCACGACCATCTCTCGCTGTTCGTACTCCGGTTCCTGCGCGTAGTCGTGGATGTCTCTGAGGCAGCGACCATGACCTTGCAGGGAGCCGTGACACAATTGTAGTTTGAGAAGAAGTCTATAAGTATAGCACACACACACACATTGGGACTACACAAAACAGACTAGTTGGCTCTACAAGTCTAGACCTGCCTGTAAAAAGTATGGTGCGCTTGGGGGTTGGCGCTCCATAGTTTCCCATCGCGATCATGAGCCGCTCAACGCCGATGCGGCGGATGCAGTATTGAAAGAGTGGGTGCAAGTGCATGATCGACGAACCTGGTTGTTCCAGGACCCAGAAGCATGCTTTGCAAGCTGCAAGGATCACCAAGATCAGAGCTCGCGCTGTAAGGATGTTGCCATCCCTCACTGCCTGCGAATCCTTCCTCCCTAAAGGTCGAGTGGCCGATCGAAGTGTGCTGCCGCGGCTCCTTAGCTGCCAGAACAATAAATAGACTTTCCCACCCAAGCCAAAAAAAGTCCATCAACTCAAGGGCCATAAAAACATACAGTTGTTGAAGCAAAAGCCAAATCGCATGAAGACCCACGTTGAACAGACAGGAGCAGTGAGCTTCCCTCCTCCAGGGCGCAGCCGGCAAACACAATGTAGCGCGTTCGCAAAGCCCGCAGGGGAGAGCAAATCCATTCGTTCTGGATCAAGTCTCACATCGAAAGGTGCCGCTGAGCGCCCTGCCTTGCTTGCAAGAGCAAGGCCCACACACCAACTTGGACAGCGGTGATTGGAGTTTTTTTACATGGCTAGAGCACAGGTTAACTATGTATAAGTTCTCCCATACCTTGTTTATAGGCCACAACAACAATAATTCACCATATACCCCTGCTTTGTTTGATTGATTAGGCTTGCGGTGGTCAGATTTGGTGACTGCCCAAAATGGACAACACAAGCACGATAACACAAACATGATGATACAATGTTCCAAGTTTGGTTGCACCAGGGCACCTCCCACTCAGCCTTGGTCACTTCTGCGTCTCCTGAAAAGGACTCAAAGTGGTCCAATTGCTCAGACCAGTCGATGCCCTGCACCTGGAAAAGCAACGATACAAGCGTTGCAAGAGCCTTGGTCCACGGGCAGTGCATGACAACCATGCCTGCTCAGAGCAAACAACAGCAACATTACAAAGAAATACTACACAGCAATCTCATTGATGACCTAGCCACAAGCGGCATTTGCAAATGCTTAAGTCCTGCTATGAGCCAACATCGATGCTTATCCTTCATGTTGCGAGGCAGCGGCCGCTCTTCTGACTGGTCACTGTCGTCTTGAAAAGGCATCTTGGCCTGGATCTCCTTGAGCCTGGCCACAAGTGATGTCAGGCTGTTCTTCTTCTTCAAAAAGTGACCCTTTCCCATGGCGGCAAATCGCAAGCGAACTCCGGGTTCAATAGCGTGTTCTCGCCTGCGAAAAGTCGAGCCTTTGAAGCGCTGGAACCATGCAGTATGTGCACAGTTTAGTTCAAGAAACATGAGACAACTCTTTGATTGAAACTGGACACCATAACCACAGTGATGATCCTCGTTGAAAATGCTCGCAATGCCTAACTAGCTGCGCAACGATTCCCAGTCCTCCCAGAAAGATGTTGCAGCTCAAGATTTGCAGTACCTGGAGCCGGTGCGTCTAACGATATCTGAAGAGAATACGCAAGACTGCATAGGTTTCAGGAACTCGCGGTGATCCAGAAACGAATTACTATATATATATATATACTCTGTAATTGTTATATATAAATATTACTATATATACTTGACTTCGAACCCCTGAGTCGGAGCCATCTTTGACATACCTACGAAGGCATCCCTGACTAACTGTATACGCCGAGCTTTTTGGACAGCGCGTACGGCAGCGATCAAGAAACTAGTTTCAACAAGTCAACGCAATCCCCGATTCTAAGGGGCTTGACATTGAGTACCCCAGAGTCAAAGCCATCTTTGACATACCAATACGCCTTTAAAGAGTTTCAAAAGCCGGATCGCCTGACTGCCTCCTGCCAGGCCATGGAAGCACCACCGAATTTGCTCCACGTCACTTGTCCGAGCTTCTGGGATTCAGCAGGGTGGGAGGCCGAAACCTTTTTGACAATGAAGGCCTTTTGCTTGAGCAAGCACTCAATGACCTTATAGCTTCACAAAGACCGCTGGAATCTTTGGCTTTTTCACTCATATGTGACTTTGCAGGGTACCCAGACATTGCAGGATATTTTATTCAATTCCTCACGTAACTCTTGCACTGTTGTTCGAACCATGACATCACAGAAGTTGGTTGAAGTCGACTATACATGACCCAGAAACATGGTGTGAAGTGTAAAGGGTCTTTGTTAGGACAAGGGGCAGCTCCCGACTTGGAGCGAGCGGTGTACCCGTGACGACCTTGATGTAGCTCTCCAACACGGGGCCTGGCCTCCTGCGGCACCTGAAGTGCATCTAGGTCGTGCTCATGGAACTTGTTCAAGACATCTCCGAATTGTTCCCCGCCCAACTCATCAAGCTTGTCTTGGCCCTTGCGCTCGGCCATGTGCTTGGCCTCGAAGGTTTAGAGCTACTCCATAAACACAAACCCTGAGTTTTTTTGGGGGGCCTCACATTTGGACAGGGGCCTCAACATGAAAAGCCTTTCTGTCAAACTTGGGCACGGTCTGAGGGCCGACAATTGGAGGAGGAGTCTGAAAGAGAGCACTGGCCGCTTGGCCGCAGGCGTCCTGGTACTGGATTCCGAATCGTCCAGGTGTTCCATGCCCATCAGGCCCATGGCCTTGTCGAAGGGCCGCTTGCGCTCCTCACATGTGTGGGGACATGTGAATCATGCTAATTACTAGCGTCTAGACATTACTTAAAGCGTCATTCAGATTTTGTTCACTTTTGATTCCCAACATGCCCAACAACTTGGTTGTCAAGTTTGAAGGCCCCTCCTGACTCTCCTTCGTGGTACACGGGCGCGAAGTGCTCGCACGGTCAGTGTCCTGGTTCGAAGTGAACAAAACACTACAGTAAATCGCAGTAAATGTCCTGGGTTGCATTGCAAAAGCAGTGGACAAAAATGACACTGACAGTCTTTTGATATCAAAGATAATTGAAAACCGTCTCCTTGCTTTTCCGAATCCACACTTTGAAAGATTCCAGGCTGGACAGCTTGGAGTAGGCAGAGTCACCGTAAGTGCGCAGCGCTTTGGAACACCACTCCTCATATAGACGCCATTGCCCCGCTTCCAGAAGCACACCGCCCATTGCCTCTTCCAAATCAGCCTTTATGTCCTTCAGAAGTTTTTGGATGTGAGCGACTTCGTTCTCTTTCCGGCTGTAGTAGTTGATCGCTTTCCCCATCCAACCCGATGAGACTTGAGAGTCTCTGTGGTCGGAGCCGCTCGCACTGCCGCTCTCCTCAGACTCTTCGTCTTGTTGCCCCAAAATCAGCGTTGGCGCTGTCAGGCTGTCGTCAGACTTTTCATCATCAGACCTGCTTGAACAGCTTGTCTGACTTGAGTCAGCCTTGGCCGCTTCCTCGTGAGAAGTTGGGCCTGTTCCAACAACAACACCCGGGTCAGGTAGCTGCTCTTCCTCAGATTCTGGGTCCGATGCAGCTTCATCACGCACAAGCTCCCCCTCTTCCTCAGAGGCTGGGTCCGATGCAGCTTCATCACGCGCAAGCTCCTTTTCTTCCTCAGATTCATCATGCGCAAGCTCCTTTTCTTCCTCAGAGGTCGGGTCCGATGCAGCTTCATCACACACAAGCTTCCCCTCTTCCTCAGAGGTCGGGTCCGATGCAGCTTCATCACGCGGAGCACGGGCAGGAAGGTGCTCTGCAGCCTCATCAGGAATTGCCGGCGCTTCATTGTCATTGTCACCGTCAGATGACGCGGAACGTTTGCGCCTTCTTCCATGATGAGCAGGGCTCTCGCGAAGAAAAGATTTCAAGTGGCGCACCTTGTCGGTGCCACCACGTCGCGAACTTCGCCACAAAGCTCTCAAGGCACCGAGGCATTTCTTCAGCTTGCACCCCTCTTGAGCTGCCAGCTGCATTCGACACTCCCCCTTTACAGGGCGAAACATCTTCTTGTCAAGCTGCCGATCGAGCTCCACAAAGACATCGGTAAGGAAGTAGGCTGAAGGCACCTGATGCAAGTCTAGCTACACAAGGAATGGCTGAGTGGGGAATGAGCGAACCAAAGATCTGAGAGAGTCATGGAATGAGTGCAGGAGTCGACGAGTCGCGGAATGAATGAGTGAAGGATTGAATGAATCAAGGAGTGAGTCAGACCCCCCAAACAATACTAAAAACAATTGTCCCTTCCGTGAGAACCTTTATATACAGATTCCTTTACTTTAAAACCATATTTGGTAAAACATATTGATACAGTGCCTTGCCTTAGATGGGCTGTAGGTGACACACGGCAAAATCCAGACGTAGTTAACGCTGATCTCCTTGCTTGTAGGCTGCCTGATGGCCTTGCTCTGAGCTAGGTCAACCAAGGCTGAGCCCTTGAACCCCTCATCAGCAAATAGAGTCAGCAAGGTGGGAGGAAGTGCTCGATGAATAGCGCTGGCCACCTGTTCCTGAGAGGTGTTTTATAACGTGCGATTCGTTTGGGTTACCGACAAATCCAAAACAGCAGCTTGACTCTGAAACATTTCACGTTCCGTATTCCTTCCTCGTCCCCCGAGGAAATGCTGGCAAGAATCAACATCTGCGTACGTCCAAGAAATTTTGCCAGGCCCTTGGCCGGAATCACGTGAGCTGGTTTGGGCAAGGGTGGAGAGAAAGTTTTGCACCACGAGAAACGTTGAGTTAACATCATGTGCTTGAAAGAAAGCTACTCTTCATTGTTTTTTGAGTACCGGGCTGGTTGAACGCCAGGTCTCAGCAGGGTCTGCTCTTTCGATAGCTGGGACAAGAGCCATTGGCCAAAACAACGGCGACCCTTTGCAGCTGTTGAGCCCACAAAGTCACTCCGGCAAAGGGTCGAGCCACCTTAAGAACATGGAAAAGGGATACGGTCTCTACGAGCCCTGCGACACCCCCGTTCCAGGGGCACGCGTTGAAGTCCCCCGCGCTCCACCTGAGGCCGGCAGTGGAGTGAGTGGAATGAGTGGCCCTGCAAGCTGTGGCCAGTACATGAAATGATGTTCAAACAAGCCACCAAACTAGTCACTAGATGATCATCATCGCAGCTGTGGCCCCGGGCTGTTTGCACGGCTGAAGGCTTTGAAACCGAAGAGACATGCAGCAAGGCGTGCACTAGTTTTTTCAACTGGTAGATTCATGGACAGCATCTCATTCCCCCTTTTCATGCACATAAAAAATATGAGTGAATGGACGTCGACGTTGAAAAGCCTGGTGTTTC